GAGAGAGAGAGAGAGGGACGGAGGAAGTGAGCGCGAATCGGTCAATAACAAAAATGTAAGAATGAAGAGAAAGAAACAGTACCAATTTTATTAGACGAATTTTTTCAACAATGGATCTTTACCGTTTGCAGAAAGGCTTTAGGTAGTGGAATTTCATTGACTTGAGGGGCTAACGAAGAAAAGCTTTTCTCAGATGATCAGAGTATCTTCTTTTCTTCCGTCGAAATATGTAGATTGTTTTATGCTTTTAGATGCTAAGAAAAAAAACAAAGCAAACAAACCGAGTGGAGAGAAGATCCATCGACACAGAGGATCATAACACAATGTCGACCAGAGAAATACGAACAGCATGTATGGAAGAAGCTTCATACGTCCAACAAGAGCACCTGAAATAAGAGCGGGCGTAATGACCGCAAAGGCAGCTTCATAACCTGCAAATGTAAGAAGCGAAATTGTGGCTGCATTCACGCTGTCCGGCAGAAGCCCGTAGACATTGCTTGTTGTCGAGTAAAAGTTAAACGCACCGAATTGAAATGAACCGAATCCGGAGTTACCAGGTCCAAAACAAAACGAAAAACCGAACAAAAACCATTGAACGGTGACGATAGCCATACAGATGACAGAGAGAAAAAGTTGGTTGAGAATATTCTTGCTTTCAATGAGACCGCCATAGAAGAAGGCCAACGCTGGTGTCCTATACTCGAATTTCAAGGTGAATAATAAGACACAATAGGAAACATGAGAGACAACTTACATCATGTAGACAAGAGCCGTTGATGTCAATATCTAGGAAGAAAGATTCTATCGATTATGCTACCATGCTGCATATTCTCGTAGAGTAAAGAAAACAAGTTTGCTGAGAACTTACAAACGACGAGGTCACAACAGATTTTCGGGAAATGTCTCATAATTTCAAAAGCAAAAGACTATCAAATAAATTGAGGGTGAGTAAAATACTCTCATCCTCATCCCTCTTTTTCTTCAGTGCAAAAGCAGCACGGAGGAGAGCATCTGTCGTAGTTTTTGAGTGAACACTGAACATACCCAAGCATTGTCGCCCGAATTGATCGTCAAGGTGCTCATGTTTTTGTCGTAGTTCTAGTCCCGTATGTTGAAGTTACAGAAGAGTATGATCGTAAATGCAATCAGATCACTCGTCTACAAGTACACTGTAAAATAGAAAATGGTTTATAGAGAACAAAATGGTATACTCAACAAGCACCTATATGAATTCAATAATGAATTTTATGTTTTTTCAGGAAAATCGACTGAATTTCTATTATCTAAAACCGAGCGTTTCCCAAAAGTTTCAAAAATCCTTTAGCTGATTTGAAGATGATATTTTACAGAATAGAATACAGATAAAATTTAGTGTATGCCGAGGGGTGCAAAAGTTCTACGTTAAGAATTTGATTGGATGTATTTTTCGAAGGCCAGAAAAATTTACTTTCTTTATTAAAGGCTTTATAAGCTATAACCATCATACCGCATTGGCTTCTTGTCCTATGAGTCACGTAATTTACTCCGATTTTGTTCAAATCCAGA